GAGCTTTCTACTCTATGCGATATGTCGAGGTGCGCAAGACGGCAGCAGAAGTAGTGGCGAAAAGTAAGGCTGATTCCTGGGTGAATTTTGGTGAGGTTTTGTAGTCGAATTTCCACATAGCAAACAAGGTATTGTGTCAGATTATTCGCTGGCTCCAAGCTGAAAAGAAGGGCACTAAAAGGGTATTGATGGAGAGGTCTGAACATTCTCTTATCTAGGATAAAGACATCCTTCGGTGATGGAGAGAGACTAATTTGAGAAACTCCTTAACACTGAGCAACCGCAGGAAGATTAGCCTCTAGAGCAACAGGTAGCGCGTATTACTAGTCTTGTAGCTGAAATTACACAAGCTGTGAAAAGCTTAAAAAGTTGATTGGCTGCCTGAATTGATGAAATCCGTCATGAAATGTTCAAAGCATTAGGCGAACAAGGCGTGTGCTGGCTAACACGTATCTATCAAACAGCGATGACTACGGGAAAAACACCAGCGGGCTGGAAAACGGGAGTTGTTGTACCCCTAATCTTAAGGGAGATCACAGGGAGTGCTCCAATTATCTGGGCATTACCTTATTGAGCCTCCAAGATAAAGTCCACTCGAAAGCGCTAAAAACATGCCATGGAATAACTGACTCCAAGGTGCAAGAAGAGCAGTGTGGCTTCCTGCCCGGTCGAAACACTTCTGGTCATATATCTGCCCTGTGCCAGATTGTTGGGAAAATCGTGGGAGGTCGCCAACCAAGTGTACATGGACTTCGTTGAACTAGAAAATGCCTATCACCTGATCCCGAGTAACAGTCTGTGATCATGCCCTCGAACATCCGTGATGGTGACCAGCTACAGCTGCCATTAAATCACTGTTTTCTTAGAGCAGGTGCCGCGAGAGTAAATGGCGCAAAGTCGAAGCCTTACAACGTTGGCAACTGGTCTCCACCAAGACTGTGTCCTGTCCCCTCTTGTTTGTGTTATGCATGGATAGAATGGTCAGGAGCAGCCAAGCCGATGAGTCTTCAGTATAGATGTGAAGACGAGAAGGTTGCTATTTTAAGACAACCTTGTTTCAGTGGTTTCCTCTGAAACCGATCTACAGTGCTCCGTAGAAAGATTTGCAGCTGAGTGCCACGTGATCGGCATGCGTGTAAATGCATCTAAAACGGAAATCCTTTTGCTTTCTCGTCCTCCCGCCCGTTGCTCTCTTCAGATTAACGAGGAGGCAATGCAGTAGGTGGAGAAGGTCAATTACATCAAAGTCGTATTTACTAGTGATGGAAAATTTGAGGAAGTGATCGACAGGCGAATTGGAGTAACCAGTGGTTTTGTGCGTAAAGTAGCCTGATCCATTGTGACTAAATCAGAGCTCAGTCTGAAAACTAAGCTATCGGTGTTTATCCCGATGCTTACCTACGGTCATGAGTCGTGGACGATGATTGAAAAGATTCGAACCCGGGTATGAGCGGCTGAAATGGGCTTTCTGAAACGAGTCGCTGGTCGTAAGCGTCTCGACATGGTGCGGAATACAGACGTCCGAGAGAGCCTTTGTGTACAGCCTCTGTTTCTCCAGATTGAGAAG